AAAAATTTTGCCTCAGTTCCCGTTAAAAAACCCGGTATACGCGATTCGTCCGAGACGTGTCCACGTGTGGCCTGAAGTGCCCCATGTGTGCCAGTGTTTACAAGCCAGCCAGTGTGCTCGCATCTAAGGATACATTCGGTACATTCCATATTATCACAGTGTTTTTGGTGCTTGTTTCTGCAAAATAAGTCACCATGGGCCCCAAGAAAGCTTCTAGTGCCAATCCCTTTGAGAAAAAGGGTGCTAATGACTATTGAAATGAAGAAAGAGATAATTGCAAAGTACGAAAGTGGAGTGCGTGTGTCAGAGCTGGCCAGGTTGTATACAAAACCCCAATCAACCATCGCTACTATAGTGACCAGGAGAACGACAATCAAGGAAGCTGTTGTTGCAGGGAAGTAACCCCGGAAAAGGACTTGCTACCTCAAGTCCTAATGGAAGGGGATTCCCCTTCTAAACAATAAGTTCGACACTCTCCCCTCTTCCCATACCATCAATCATCACCAGATCTTCATTAAAGGTAAGTGTCTTGTATTCTATTGTTAGTAGAGTACTACAAGCTGTGCATGTCTTCTTCAGTTTGTGTGCATTGAACTTAATGTTTCATGTGGTAAAAAAAATTTTTTCATACTTTTGGGTGTCTTGCATGGATTAATTTGATTTCCATTATTTCTTAGGAAGAAAATTGATTCGCTTTTCGATAATTTTGGTTTACGATGAGCTCTCAGGAATGGATTAATATTGCAAACCAGGGATCCACTGTATAGAGTTGAAAAACAACCTGAGGACTTCTGTTGTTTATACTTCTTGATTTGAAGCCAAGGATTCTGTTAGCTTTATTGCGAACACTTATGCACTGTTGTCATGGTTTCAGATTACAGTGGACCCCCGCATAACGGACGCCTTGCATAACGGACAATCCGCATAGCGGACGCTTTGATCGCTAAAATTTTGCCCCGCATACCGCCCAAAAACCCGCTTAGCGGCCTTCGTCCGAGACGCGTCCAATGTGCGGCCTGAGCCACGCTCACATGTTCCGCCGGTGGCATTGTTTACCAGCCAGCCTCCGCGGTAACATCCAAGCATACAATCGGAACATTTCATATTATTACAGTGTTTTTGGTGATTTTTTTCTGGAAAAAAAGTGACCATGGGCCCCAAGATAGCTTCTAGTGCCAACCCTACAGCAATAAGGGTGAGAATTACTTTGGAGATGAAGAAAAAGATCATTGATAAGTATGAAAGTGGAGTGCGTGTCTCCGAGCTGGCCAGGTTGTATAATAAACCCCAATCAACCATCGCTACTATTGGTGGTACAGCTGCTGCTGCTGCTGTACCACAGTCAGCTGCTGCTGCTGCTGTAGTACCGTCTGCTGCTGCTGTAGCATCGTCTGCTGCTGCTGTAACATCGTCAGTTGCTGCTGTAGCATCGTCTGCTGCTGCTGCTGTAGCATCGTCTGCTGCTGCTGCTGCTGCTGTAGCATCGTCTGCTGCTGCTGCTGCTGCTGCAGCATCGTCTGCTGCTGCTGTAACATCGTCAGTTGCTGCTGTAGCATCGTCTGCTGCTGCTGCTGTAGCATCGTCTGCTGCTGCTGCTGCTGCTGCTGCTGCTGCAGCATCGTCTGCTGCTGCTGTAACATCGTCAGTTGCTGCTGTAGCATCGTCTGCTGCTGCTGCTGTAGCATCGTCTGCTGCTGCTGCTGTAGCATCGTCTGCTGCTGCTGCTGTAGCATCGTCTGCTGCTGCTGCTGTAGCATCGTCTGCTGCTGCTGCTGTAGCATCGTCTGCTGCTGCTGCTGCTGCTGTAGCATCGTCTGCTGCTGCTGCTGTACCACCGTTGTTGGTGTGGCTTATTGAGAATACCAAGAAACAATTAACCCCAGAGGATTTGCCACCCAGGATAACCCAAAAAAGTCAGTGTCATCGAAGACTGTCTAACTTATTTCCATTGGGGTCCTTAATCTTGTCTCCCAGGATGCAACCCACATCAGTCGACTAACACCCAGGTGAACAGGGAAAATGCCTGGAACTAGTGCTCATATTGGTGAATTTAGAGCCAGCAAAGGTTGGTTTGAGAGATTTAAGAATCGTAGTGACATACACAGTGTGATAAGGCCTGTTCTGGAAGAAAATACCAAACAGGACCTACAGTACTCAGGAGGAAAAGGCACTCCCAGGACACAGTGTCTCATCAGTCATTGCTGCATCTTCAATAAAGGTAAGTGTCATTTATTCTTCATTTAGTAGAGTAGTACATGCACAATATATATTGTGCATGTACTACTCTACTTTTGTGCATGTATCCTTCTCTTTGTGTGTAGGAAAATGTCTATTTCATGTGGTAAAATTTTTGTTTTCATACTTTTGGGTGTCTTGCACGGATTAATTTTATTTCCATTATTTCTTATGGGGAAAATTCATTCACATAACGATTATTTCGCATAACAATTACCCCTCTTGCACGGATTAAAATCGTTAACCGGGGGTCCACTGTATAAGTGGCATGGTTATTGTCCTGTCCAACATTTAGCACTTTGCATTTGTCTATATTAAACTGCATCTGCCTCTTCTCCGACCACTGCATCAGTCTATTCAAATCATCCTGGAGTGCACTAATGTTCTCAATAGAATGAATTGGATGGCCTATTTTGGTATCAGCAGCAAATTTGCTTATGTCACTATTTATTCCCTCATCTATATCGTTTATGTAAATTGTGAACAACAAGGGGCCCAACACTGACCCCTGTGGAACACCGCTTGTGATGTGCCCCTACTCTGATTTCTCCCCATTTATGCAAACTCTCTGCTGTCTATTTGTCAACCACGTCTCTACCCAGTAAAAAATTTCTCCTCCTATTCCGTCTGCCTTAAGTTTCCTCAAAAGTCTTTGATGTGGAACTCTATCGAAAGCTTTACTGAAGTCCATATAAACAATATCATATTCATTACCATGATCTACCTCCTCAAACACCTTAGCGAAAAAAGTTAGTAAATTCGTAAGACAGGAACACCCCTTAGTAAAACCGTGGTGAGGTTCATTTATCAATTTATGCCTATCAAGATGGCTACGAATTGCCTTGACAATTATTGATTCCATAAATTTTCCCACTATGGGGGTAAGGCTTATTGTTGTTACAAAATGTGTTACAAATGTGTTACTAAATTTCCTTTTATGTTTAACTAATTCCTTGGAATTAACAGTGCTCTACTCTGCATCTCTAATGCTCTTCTCGTTACTTTTTCCTCTTTCAAAATTCTTGATACTTCTTTACCTAATGGTCTTATTCTATTAACTTATTACTTAACCTATTACCCAAATACAGTGGACCCTCAGCTAATGATATTAATCCATTCCTGAAAGTTCATCGTGTGCTGAAATTATTGTTAGCTGAATTAATTTTCCCCATAAGAAATAATGGAAATCAAATTAATCCGTGCAAGACACCACAAAGTATGAAAAAAAAAAATTTACCACATGAAATATTAATTATAATACACACAAACTGACACTTAACTTTATTGAAGATCTGGTGATGACTGATGGGATGGGAGGAGGGGAGAGTATGGAAGTTGTTAATGTTTAGAAGGGGAATCCCCTTCCATTAGGACTTTAGGTAGAACATCCTTTTCCAGGGTTACCTCCCTTCTTTTAATGCCACTAGGACCAGCTGACCGTGGTGCAGCAGCAGCTGACCGTGGTGCAGCAACAGCTGACCGTGGTGCAGCAACAGATGATGGTGGTGTAGCAGCAGCTGACTGTGGTGCAGCAGCAGCTGCCCGTGGTGCAACAGCAGCTCACCGTGGTTCAGCAACAGCTGACCGTGGTGCAGCAGCAGCAGCTGACTTTGGTGTAGCAGTAGCTGACTGTGGTGCAGCAACAGCTGACTTTGGTGCAGCAGCAGCTGACTTTGGTGCAGCAGCAGCTGACGGTGGTGTAGCAGCAGCTGACTGTGGTGCAGCAGCAGCTCACCATGGTTCAGTAACAGCTGACTGGTGCAGCAACAGCTGACTGTGGTTCAGCAACAGCTGACTGTGGTGCAGCAGCAGCTCACTGTGGTGCAGCAACAGCTGACCATGGTGCAGCAGCAGCTGACCGTGGTGCAGCAGCAGCTGACCGTGGTGCAGCAGCAGCTGACTGTGGTGCAGCAACAGCTGATGGTGGTGCAGCAACAGCTGACCGTGGTGCAGCAGCAGCTGACCGTGGTGCAGCAGCAGCTGACCGTGGTACGATAGTACATATTTCCCACCCTTTTTACATATGATTGCTTGAGAGATGGTATCTCTTGCTATCTGTTTTTCATTTATCCACACCAATAACAGTCTCTCAACATCTTCGAGTACTTGTGATCTCTGTTTCGAAAACAAACTTGCACCTTTTGCAAGAACAGCTTCCTTGATTGCCGTTTTGTTGGCCACAATAGTAGCGATGGTTGATTGGGGTTTGGTATACAACCTGGCCAGCTCCAAGACACTCGCTCCACTTTCGTACTTAGCAGTTATCTCTTTCTTCATTTCCATAGTAATTTTCACCTTTTTTACTGCACGGTTGGCACTAGAAGCTTTCTTGGGGCCCATGGTGACTTATTTTGCAGGTACAACCACAAAAAACGCTGTGATAATATGAAATGTTCCGATTGTATGCGTGGATGCGACCGCACTGGCTGGCTTGTAAGCACTGGCACCCACGGGACAACTCAGGCGCGCTCAGGCCACATGTAGATGCGTCTCGAACGAATCACATAGGGTGAGTTTTTTAGCGTTAGCCGAGGCAAAATTTTTGCGTTAAAATGTATCGTATGCTGGATTTAACGTTAGGTGATGCCATCGTTAGCTGAGGGTCCACTGTATCTATCCTTTCCTTTTTCATTTTTGTTTTGCTTTCTCACATTCCTCATCTTTTTGTAAACACTGTACTGTCATTCAAATTTATATACTAGTACCTTCAGTTGTAATATATACGTATATATATATATATATATTTATATATCAATTGCCCTTAGGATCACTGGGTTGAAGGTGTCACAAGTGGTGGGCAGCTTTATTTCACCACCCTGCCATCCAGTAGAGGACAAACTCCTACAAGAGGTTCAAGTGTTTATGTTGGCATCCCATCTGTTTTGGGCCTTGTGGTCTATTGTGCAAAGCCAGGTCTCCAGTATTCCATTTGGTTATATGGTAAGTGCAATTCTATGATTGTTAAGGTTAATTTGCAAAGCCTCCCAGACTTTGTGAGAGGGATGAATTTCATGAGAATGGAATGCAAATAAAATACAATAAATGCAGAGAGTCCTTTAGTTATTGTCTTACGCTCTTACTTGTTTTCTGAAAAACTGCATTTAATATAAACCATTTTAACAGTGAACATATTTTTTTTGTAGACCTAGTATAAATTTGGGATGTATTCCAAGTGCACCTAAAGAAACCATTTATTTACATAGAAGAGAATCTTAGCTAGTGAGTGAGTGGAGGCAACTCAGTGTTATTTCTGACATTTTCTTAAACAACGATATATGCAAACATGAAGACAAATTCTGCTTAAAGTAACGTAATAAAAAACAGATGTCTCGTATTGAAATGAGAGACAGTAAGTGATTTGAATTGAATACATGTACTTATCAAAATGATATAGCATGTTTACAAGGTGGGCTAGGATTCCATGCTGTACTAGCATAAAACAGATAATATGAGGAAGGCATGGAACAGGTTGTCTTGTGTAAGAAATTAAAGTTTAATATTTTATTATGCACCCCAATACCCTTTCCTGTGGCGGTAGCACCCCATACCTATCCTGTGAGCGGAAAGTCAAAAGATTACAGAGGCACATAAGGGCCCCGGGGACGGGGCCCCAAAGTTTTGATAGCCAAACTAGGTAAAAGGTAATGTACTCATAAGTTACAAAGGTAATGAATCCTTAAGTAAATTTATGTTTATACATGGCTTCAATCATGAACAAATTATAGAGTAATGAGCAATTCACACGTCCACACCGGGTCACAACTGAAATGAGTTATTGGTGCAAATATTAATTGTTGACAGACACAGACAGACAGACACACAGACAGGCACACACACAGACAGACACACACACAGACAGACACACACACAGACAGACACACACACACAGACACACACACAGACAGACACACAGACAGACACACAGACAGACAGACAGACACACACACAGACAGACACACACACAGACAGACACACACAAAAGACAGACACACACACAGACAGACACACACACAGACAGACAGACACACACACACACACACACACACACCCACACACACACACAAAACACACACACACACACCACACACACACACACACACACACACACCACACACATACAACATATATATTTTCAATTCAATTCAAGTTTATTCTCTATAAGGGTTACAATGTGGGGTTTACAGGTTTTGGGTATTGTGGGTTTACATGTTATAAAATACTAATTACAGAGGGGGCCACTAGGACACCTACCATGGCTAGTTATTTTGAGCAGACTTAGATTAAATTTTAACATTAAACCCCTTACAGATTATGGTATTAAGGCAAGTGACTACATCATAATTGTGAGTTTAGCAATGTGAATGTTTTTGGGTTTTGGCACAATACAAGGTGTCTATATTGGAGTATCATAGGCAAACTTAAAGACTAGTTAGGATTTATTATTTATTATTTATATTTAATTTTTTATACAGTGGACCCCCGCATAACGATCACCTCCGAATGCGACCAATTATGTAAGTGTATTTATGTAAGTGCGTTTGTACGTGTAATGTTTTGGGGGTCTGAAATGGACTAATCTACTTCACAATATTCCTTATGGGAACAAATTCGGTCATACTGGCACCTGAACATAACTTCTGGAGTGAAAAAATATTGTTAACCGGGGGTCCACTGTATATGTATATGTGGTAATGCTTTAAATTTCATGGAGCAAAGTCAGGGTATTTTTCCAGAATGGTCTGTAATATACCACTGTGGATAAAATACTTAGACATATCTTGAATATTTCTGAGTGAGTTGTCTCTGAATGCATTAATTTTATCACACTCCAATACATAATGATGTAAGAAAGGAAGTTGAAATCGACAGTCGCTTTCATCTAAGAAATCCTTTGTGGAATCTACATTGAAGGTGGGATAGTCCTGAAGGAGAGAAGACAGAGTGAGTGCATCAGAAAAAAGGATAGACACGAATTCTATATTCCCTTTACATACAAAAACAATATTTACAAAAATCATGGAAAGCCCAAGCCAGGTACTGGAAATAAGTCACTTGGACTTTTTTGGGTTACCTAGGTTCTCTCTACATATGCTGCTATGTATGATAATCTATGTAACTGTATTTGTGTATAGTACCTGAATAAACTTACTAACTAGTCTGTCGACTGAGTACAGGAAACTGCCCATTCACCTATTTCAACTACCTAATGAAGTGGTCAGAAATTGCAATTTGGCCAATTTCACAGATGCCAATTTCAAATATGGTCCAGAATAGACAATGCAGACATTCCTGGCACTAAAATAACATTTTCTATGTTCATTAGTCATGGCTCCAGGCCCCTCTTATATTACTCTTGCTTACCATTTGGAATTTTTATTCACACAAAAAAAATAGAAGATTTACTATTATGCAGACTACTGCATTATTGTAATAATTGTATAAATAATGTCAACTCATTCTTGACTGCATATTGGAATTTGAACTGGCAGGTGGACAAGTATTGGATGGTGACATCATTTGTTTACTCGAGCATCGCTAAAGAATAGAACTTTTCTGCTACTGTGACCACAATTTTCAAGGTACTTTTCATCATGAAAGCAATCAAAATCATATCTATTTCTGTAATATATCTTCCATTCTAACAAATGAGACCGAAAAAACGAGAATATAACCATAAAAACCATACAAAAATATACCGCTTAGCGGCCGCTAGTGGCTGAGAAGTGAACTCTGCTATTTATGGTCTGATTTCTTTATTTTTTGGTGTACATTAAGAAGTATCTTTCGCATCATACATTGCCCAAGTTTCAATAAGATAACCCAACAAACAAATGTGAAAATAAAATAATATAATAATAATTATAATTTACTACACGTACATGTACATGGGATACAGACATAGCTGACATCAGTGACATACTACTATATTATAGAAAGCCACTTCTTATGCAGAGTATTTCAAGCAAATTAGGTCAGTGTCCCAGGATAACCACCCACACCAGTCCGACTAACACCCAGGTACCCATTTACTGATGGGTGAACATAGATAACAGGTGTAAAGAAACTAACCCAATGTTTCTAACCCTGGCTGGGAATCGAATATTTACCAAAAATCATATATGGCTAACCCAAGCCAGGTACTAGAAATAAGCCACATTGTCTGACTTTTTTTTTTGGGTTATCCTAAGTTCTCTACACATATGCTGCTATGTGTGGTAATCTATATAGAGAAAATAGCTTTTTTGTTTCAGGTTTATGGTGCAGTACAAGTGTATATCACAGTTTAGCCCTGTGCTACACTCCTGTTTTCTCTAATATAAGCCCCAAGACAGGGATAGGAGAATGGTACTTGTATCTCGTATCCTCTTCATGCCTCCGTTGAACTGCTCGGTATTATGCCAAATACGTATTGTAATTATTCATTCTGGAGTATTTAACATGTTTTAAGTTAATATATTTTTTTATTAGTCATATTAGACAATTGTGATAGGCCAATAAACGAGTTTTATTTTCCTATTCCCAAAAAAGTGGACCCTCACTAATGAATTAATCCTTTCCTGAAAGTTCATCGTGTGCTGAAATTATTGTTAGCTGAATTAATTTTCCCCATAAGAAATAATGGAAATAAAATTTAATCCGTGCAAGACACCACAAAGTATAAAAAAAAAAAAATTTTTACCACATGAAATATTAATTTTAATACACACAAACGACACTTAACTTTATTGAAGATCTGTGATGACTGATGGGATGGGAGGAGGGGAGAGTATGGAAGTTGTTAATGTTTAGAAGGGGAATCCCCTTCCATTAGGACTTTGGGTTTAGAACATCCTTTTCCGGGGTTACCTCCCTTCTTTTAATGCCACTGGGACTAGCTGACCGTGGTGCAGCAGCAGCTGACCGTGGTGCAGCAACAGCTGACCTTTGGTGCAGCAACAGATGATGGTGGTTTTAGCAGCAGCTGACGTGGTGCAGCAGCAGCTGCCCGGGGTGCAACAGCAGCTCACCGTGGTTCAGCAACAGCTGACCGTGGTGCAGCAGCAGCATCTGACTTTGGTGTAGCAGTAGCTGACTGTGGTGCAGCAACAGCTGACTTTGGTGCAGCAGCAGCTGACTTTGGGTGCAGCAGCAGCTGACGGTGGTGTAGCAGCAGCTGACTGTGGTGCAGCAGCAGCTCACCAAAGGTTCAGTAACAGCTGGACTGGTTGCAGCAACAGCTGACTGTGGTTCAGCAACAGCTGACTGTGGTGGAGCAGCCAGCTCACTGTGGTGCAGCAACAGCTGACCATGGTGCAGCAGCAGCTGACCGTGGTGCAGCAGCAGCTGACCGTGTGTGCAGCAGCAGCTAAACTGTGGTGCAGCAACAGCTGACGGTGGTTGCAGCAACAGCTGACCGTGGGTGCAGCAGCAGCTGACCGTGGTGCAGCAGCAGCTGACCGTGGTACATAGTACATATTTCCCCCCCTTTTTACATATGATTGCTTGAGAGAGGGGTATCTCTTGCTATCTGTTTTTCTTTTAATCCACACCAATAACAGTCTCTCAACATCTTCGAGTACTTGTGATCTCTGTTTTCAAAAACAAACTTGCCACCTTTTGCAGAACAGCTTTCCTTGATTGCCGTTTTGTTGGCCACAATAGTACGATGGTTGATTGGGGTTTGGTATACAACCTGGCCAGCTCCAAAAACACTCGCTCCATTTTCGTACTTAGCAGTTATCTTTTTTCTTCATTTCCATAGAAATTTTTCACCTTTTTTAACTGCACGGTTGGCACTAGAACTTTCTTGGGGCCCATGGTGACTTATTTTGCAGGTACAACCACAAAAAAAACGCTGTGATAATATGAAATGTTCCGATTGTATGCGTGGATGCGACCGCACTGGCTGGCTTGTAAGCACTGGAAACCCACGGACAACTGAGGCGCGCTCAGGCCACATG